GACTGCAGAGCCTTTATTTAATCTGTGCAGCAGTTCCTCATCTCTAAGAGGTGAATAATGCTTCTATTACTTTTGAGTCAAGCCTTTTAATGAATGTGTGCTCAGTTACTTTATCGCCGATCACATGGGTTCATGAGTTCCATGTTTTGCTCATCAGAGGCCCTCAAACCACCTTGTCCTTGTGGAAATTGCCCTTGAATATCTTCTTCCTCAAACACATCTGGTACTCAGTTAAGCAGAGCTAGAGTTTAAAAGTTGTGGATATCTGGTTATATTCCAAATGCCGTGTCCTCTAATTTAGAGTATAGCAAGTAGAGGATATAAGATATTGGTGGGAACCAACACCTGATCTTCATTGATGTTCCTGAAACAAGTGGTTTTGAATTTACACTGATATTATTGTTAAAGGCAAAAACTTAAAAGTATGTGGGAGGCTTGATGTAGAGAGAGACAGAATTAGAATGAACACTGTATTTTATGATAGTGTGCGAGGGGGCAAAAAAGTATGCGTTCCAGTGTTGTAATACGAGATAATTCAGGATGCTGTAGATTTTTCTAGAGTGTGTTAATAAAAATGTAAGTGTATGCAAGCGAAAGAGTAGAGCTGGCAAAGTGTGCTTTGCACATGGCGTGTTATTTTGCTGGGGCATATCACCTACTGTATTCCTGTGCCATATGTTTTTGGGCTGATTGCAAGAAGATTAATGCAGTGGAACTTTTAAAATTTCATGACAGCTTTACTCCATTAACATACTGCACATGGTCAATTACTAATCTTCAGGAATCAAGAAAAAACTGCCCTGCTCAAATGACTGGGTATATCTGTCTTTTAATTGCTTGTAGAAAAAATACAAGAGGTCTGTTTCCTCCATTGAGTCAGATTTTAAATTAGAATGAGGGTTATTATTATTATTATTAATTTATTTGTTTCTAGTGGCTTAACATTTGCTATGTTGTTTTCATTTGTTAGCAGAAGTATGTTTGTGGGTATTTCTGTTTTTAAGAAATACAGCAGGGACTTTTATGGGAGTGAGTACAGTGAATTTCTGCTGAAAGGTGGCTGGGGGAATACAGAGAGACATTCAGTAGTTTAAGATGAAACAATCATAATGGGTTCAGTTACAACTTGCAGCTCTCTCTTGAGTGAGTAAATGGGTTTCTGTTTGTGCAGTTTTAAATAGCCTGTTGAACTATATTTTATCTCCGCTAGTGGAACTGCTACCCTATATAAAGACATATCTATTTGCATCATTTTCCCTTCTGCTATCTTGAGTTGAAAAGGCATTTTCTCTCTT